AGATGTGTATAAGAGTTATATGTATATATATATATATATATGTATGTATATATATATAATATATGATGCATAATGTTTGTATTTATAGTAGTGGTATTTTATTTATTCTCTGATGGTATTGTATCACAGGTGTTGATGTAAGCTTTCATTATACAGTACTGTGCAATCTTGTGTGTTATTCTTTGTGATGTGGTGACTGCTAGCGAACTCTAATTTCAAACAATTTTGCAATAAAAGCCAAACGTGTTTTCATTTAATTCATTATTTATAGTATCTTTGTTTATATTTAATCATTTAAGATATGTGGGTGTGTGCTTATGTGTGATTATGATGATGTTGAGGACGATGATGATGTCAATAATGCTGCAACTTTGAACTAAACACAGACAACACAAAATTTGCTATAGTTAAGTGCAGCAAATTTAAGAACCTCTACAAATGGAACTCATGATATAAATGCCATTCTAAAACCTGTATTTAATAGCGTATGTTTTTTATTTTGATTTGATCATTCAATATCACACACATAACAATAAAATTTTGAGAACGTACATAAAAAAATAAGAGATGAATAATTAATTGAATGCCTGGACGACCCATTAAGTCTAGTGATTGTACACCAGACTTACTTCCAATGGGGTCTAGAAGCCAGGGTAATAATTGCACAAGAGCGCAAGAGCGAATATTAACAGATAGTGATCTGGCAAAGTTTAGAATATATAGTAAAAGATATTAAATAGGTAAACATAGGCCTATTTAAAATTAAAAATTGTAAAAATGTTAAAATTGAACATTAAATTTACAAATTGAGTAAAAAAAATTAAATATAAAAACTGTATGTAGTAAAGGATAAAAACATGAAACATTCAAAATCAGTAAGTAAAAATTCTTTGGTGTTGCATTCATATAATCAAAATACTTCAAGGGTACAGTACGAGCAATGCGAAACATACCACAGACTTTGTAGGCGATACTTTGTTTCTTATGACGACAATTTAGCGATCTGTAAAGCCAAACGATTTTTGGAAGGACTATATTTTCATTTTATCCAGTAAAACTATACTCAATCATATTAGGGGTTTTTTTATGTCAGTTTCGAGCTTATAAAATTTGTTCTAACAATCCATTTAGGCGTGTCAAACTAAATCAAAAACAGCGAATTTCTTGTAATTTCCTATTCAAAACAGCGGGAGGTGGTAATAGAAAGGACAGAGTCCGGTTAAACTACACCAAAATTTTAATTTTATTTCCTCACTACCGTTTAGTTTCTTAGAGAAATGATTTTCAAAACATAATCAGCTTGGGTCGCTGTTTAAAATATATATATAATATTATAGGTAAACGTACTTCGAACAATCAATCAATTCTTTTATTGACAAACTGCAGAACAGTATGGTCATATAAACAAAGGAAAATTGCACAAACAATATACATCACAAAATGTTCAATTAAGTCCGATAAATTATAAACCAATAGGTTTTCTTAAAAAGGGAAGCTTCTTAACAAATGTGGATAATAATAAATTAAAATATTATCAGTAGTGCTCATAATTTTATTTTATTTTATTCATTTGGCATGACGGCTCAGGAGTCACAAAAGCGGAAAATCCACTGTCGCCTGAAAGACGTGCGGCTCCCAACAATATTCGAACGAAAAAGTTAGGGGTGTTCGATCGAAACACATGGCGTCTTATATCATGTATAAACTTCACTTCAACATCACCGGAGTTACAGATGCGGCGCAGTCCAAGTTTGGGTGGAGTTAGGGGAGCGGATCTTCCTTTTTCAATTATATATTATACATAGGCCTATGTACACATTTGCATGTATGTATATACATGCAAGTGTGACGATATTCCAAGTTCATATGGAGGAGATCGCATTGATTGTTTTAAAGATAATAGGTATGCTATGGTTAGTTATGGTTGGTTCAAGCCTGTGTTTGAATTTGCAGTAAGTTCTTAATTTAGGTTGTTTTTGTATGTTTTCATATCACTTTTTATCATATAATTCGAGCTTATTGACAATAATTGTGCCCATGTAGTCTGCATATTTTATGACCATTGGAGACTGACTGGTGGCTTAAACTTAATGAAAGATCAAGATCAAAGATAATATTACGATTATTATCGATTAAATACAAGTTGATATAAATAATTAGAATGCAATATTAATAATGAAAATATTATAAAAACCTTAAACTACATTAAAACTACAATAAATTACCAGTCAGAATATAAACAAAATTGAGAATATCTCTAATTTATAGATTAATTGCAATAATATATAAAAAAATAATTTAGAAAAATATAGAATTATTAACCGACAAAATTGTATAAAAAAGTTATAAAAATCTTAAATTTGCACAATATCTCAAATCTAGGCATAGATTTCAATATTTCGGAAGTAATATATTGATACATTAAAAATTGAAATAGAAAAATTTAAAATATATTATTGATTAAAATAATTTATTAACAATTGAGCTATAAATAAAACCATTAAACTACAATTCAATTACCGGTTAAAACAATATATTACAAAATTTAAAAACTGTGCAGCTGTAACTAGTTATTGATTATAATTTAGGATGAATAAATGCGTTTTTAGTGCTTTTCTAAAAATGTTTAATGAAGAGACGCTGCGAAGCTGATACGGCATATCATTCCAGAGCGTAGGTGCGGCCTTTGCAAAACCCCTTTCCCCTATATGATTTAGTTTTGACTCAGGGAACACATAAAGTATATGAACCTTGGGATCGCAGAGGTCTGTTTGGTTGATCATAACTAATCTTTCGGTGAGATAAGTGGTCCCTGGTCTTGCAATTCCAATCCTATAAGGTATTTACAAGCAGCTTACATTTAATCCGTGCCTGTATTGGTAACCCATAAAGTTCTTTTAATGCTGGAGTAATTCTCCTCCCCTGCCCATCTTGTGTTTATAAGATCTTTGCTCTAAAGGCTCAAAATCAAAGATCTCGTTGGTGGCGCTGTCCAGAATGACAAAAAAAAGCTAGCTATTATTAAACACGTACTTCGGGGGTGACCGAAGTATAATAAGTTGTTGTGCAAGATTCTGCCTGTATTCTGTAGTTAACGGCAAAAAAGTCTAGGTGATAAATATGATCAGAACCACAGAAAACTTGGCGGATCCACAGATAACAGGTAAGCTTAGAAGTAGGCCTATGTACGATTATTAATTATTTATATAGTAGGGTACGAGGTATTCACGGGGAAGGGCCTTGCCTTGCCTTGGGCCTGGCCCGAACGAGGCTAGCTAGGTCCTCGGCTTAGGTCTAGACTAGGCCAAGGGTGGCCTAGGCATCATTGGTCATTGAAAGATAGTTTAGATAACGAAAGGCATCTTCCCGTACGAAAATTCATTACAAATTGAAAAAGAAATAAAATTTATTTAAATTTTAGGATACTATAAGCTTAAGTTTTGCCGGTGTTTGCGTAAGACCGTAAGATTTTATTGGGTGTAGGACCGGTTCGGCCGTACACTTGTTCGGCCGTATGATATTCAATGCCCAAATAAGGGTTATTGTATGGAACGCCGTGTAGTGTATAATCAAAGCGTGAATTGGATGTCACTGTACTGTACATGTCTCTTATTTAGGTGGTGGTGCAGGGGAACCTTATAATAAAAATAACGATTACTAATAAAAATGTGTTGTTGGTTGTTACTTCTACTGGTGGTGGTGTACACAGGAACCTTATAATAAAAATAACGATTACTAATACAAATGTTTTTGTTTGTTTTTACTTCTACTGGTGGTACACGGGAACCTAATAATAAAAATAACGATTACTAATGAAAATGTGTTGTTTGTTTTTACCTCTACTTGTGGTACACGGGAACCTTATAATAAAAATAACGATTACAAATAAAAATGTGTTGTTTGTTTTTATTTCTAATAATCCTGTACCGTTT